GTTTTGATAAAATTATTAAACCATTCCTATAATTATCGTCGGTATTTTATTTATCTTTTTATAATAGGTGATGCCAGTTTTTGCTAGTATTATTTCTTTTGTTGTATTTGTACTTACTGGTGGTACACTTACGTCCGAATTAGTATTTTCATCCTTGGCACTATTTAATATAATTCGTTTGCCTCTAAAACTTTTACCCATGGTTATTGCCGTAGCAACCGATGCTTGGGTTTCAATTGGCCGTATCCAAGAAATATTGTTAGCCGACGAATTAGAGTATCTACCTAAAATTGATTATAATGCTGATAAATTTGCTATTAAAGTAATAAATGGAGAATTCGTATGGGATGGATCTCCTGTTTCTTATAAGGGTATCCAAAGAATTCTCAATGACCAATTTGCGGAAAGTTTATCTACTTATTCTTTGATTTCTACTGATGATGTTGATGATGACGACGACGACGTAGAACATTCGCCTATATTGACGCCTCAGTTGCGTCTTAGTGATATTAATTTTACAATTTCTCATGGAAAACTTGTTGCTATTGTGGGTTCCGTGGGTTCAGGGAAATCTTCGTTGCTATCAGCATTGGTTGGTGAAATGAAAAAAGTTGATGGGGAAATAATATTCGGCGGTACCGTTGGATATTGTCCACAAACTGCTTGGATACAGAATGCTACGCTTAGGGAAAATATTACTTTTGGTTTACCGTTTGATGAAGAAAAATATCAACGAGTAATAAAGGATTGTTGCCTTGAACCCGATTTAGCGATTCTACCAGCGGGTGATATGACAGAAATTGGAGAAAAAGGAATTAATCTTTCTGGAGGGTATGTTAAAAATAGAAAGATTTGCTTTGTTTTTAGCACACTTTTAAATTTAAATGCTAAAACGTTTATCACTTAGACAAAAGCAACGCGTAAATATTGCAAGAGCTGTATACTTTGATGCGGATATTGTTTTATTGGACGACCCATTATCAGTAAATCTTTAATATCATTATACTTGATATTTGTTAAGTATCTACTACAATACTAATTTTCATTAATAGGCTGTTGATGCGCACGTTGGAAAATACCTGTTTACGAATTGTATACAAGGATCACTTGCGAAAAAAACCAGAATCTTAGTCACCCATCAACTGCAACTATTATCTCAAGTTGATTATATTATTTGTATGGAAGATGGCGAAATTGTAGAACAAGGAACATATGAAGAATTGATTAATGCCAATAAAAGCTTCGCAAAATTAATATCAGAGTTTGGGGATTCTAAAGATGAGATGACTACAATTGACATTGAAACAAATGAGTCAACGGAAAAAAAGTTTTTGGCATCACCTATTCCATCTACATCTTCACAAGGATTAATGTCATTAGAAGAGCGAACAACAGGTGCTGTTGCAGACAAGATTTATCTAACTTATATAAAAGCTGCCGGGGGTTTGGCATTGATACCATTATTTTTATTTTTATTGGTGATGATGCAAGGAAGCAATATCGGGTTTGCACCTAGTATTTTTAATATTTGAGGTTACGTAAATCGAATATACACTAAGATCTTTTTTTTTTTTTTTTTTTTACACTCAATAGAAGTAATTTATGGCTTTCATTTTGGACAAGCAATAATTTTGCCCTAACGACCGAACAATATGTAAGTTTCACGTTATAATGTGAGATATATGATATTTATAATCATAATTCTTTACAACTTGAATATAGATGTCAGTTTACTGTGCATGGGGTGTTGCAGAAAGCATTTTCAGTGTTTTAGTATGTTTAACACTTTCTTTTGCTGGAATCGCCGCTGCCAGAAACTTGCATAAGAAAGCAATCCAACAAATTCTAAAAGCACCAATAAATTTCTTTGAAACAACACCTTTAGGTCGAATAATTAATCGGTATTTATTATTTAACTTCGCTTTCATTCGTTCTTTATGTATGATAATTCTCTCAATCATTTTTCTTATAGATTTAGCAAAGATATTGATGCTTGTGATAATTTGATCACTGAATCATATCGAATGTTTTTCAGTACTTTGGCGAATGTATTCGGGACTTTTGCACTGATAATTGCAGTTTTTATATGGTTTCTTGTACCTTTGATACCACTTATCGTATTATATTATTGCGCTGCCATTTATTTTAGAGCAACAAATCGTGAATTGAAACGTAAGTTCAAATATAAAATATTCGTATTTTAGTTTACTTTAAGATGTTTTCTTATAAGGTTTTCGTTTAGGCCTTGACTCAATATTACGATCTTCCCTTTACGCACATTTTTCCGAATCTTTAACTGGTTTACCAACAATTAGAGCATACCGAGTACAAACACGGTTCATAAGGTATGAAATTTTTTAATACTGTATCATTTTTACTAGTAATAGTAGCACTAATAAATTTATTAACATGATAAATAGTACCAATGAGAATTACATGGATATAGAAAATCGAGCATATTTTATGCAATTTTCTGTCAACAGATGGCTTGGAATCCGTCTTGAAACTATCGCCAACTCATTGATTTATTGCGCAAGTTTATTAGCAGTTATGCAAAGATTTCAAGTAGAACCTGCGATTATTGGGTTGATTCTTAGTTATGCAACACAAGTTACTGCGGACTTTAATTGGTGTGTTCGACAATTTGCTGAAGTGGTAAGTGTTTAGCTGCTAATGTATAAAATTGGATTTTAGGTTAATTATATTCTCTTATATTAATCACTTGTTTTATAATTAGGAAGCAAATATGAATGCAGTAGAGCGTCTAGTGCATTACACGGATAATCTCGAAAGTGAACCTGCATCAATAATTCCTGACAATAGACCATCATCTGAATGGCCTGTTAAAGGAGAGATATTTATAGAAAATTTGGTTATGCAATATGGACCTGAAAACCCACCAGTGATAAAAGATGTTACAATTCATATAAAAGATTGTGAAAAAATAGGTATAGTTGGAAGAACTGGTAAGTAAGAAAAGAAAATTGAAAGATGATTATATATAATTGTTTGATTTTAATGAGTTTAACTTTACCTTAGGATGTGGAAAGTCTACATTTGCAACTTCATTCTTTAGATTTATTGAACCAAAATCAGGACAGATTACTGTTGATGGAATAGATATCACTAAAATAGGATTAAAAGATCTTAGAAGTAGGATAACTATAATACCACAAGAACCTGTATTATTTAATGGTACGATAAGGTATGATAAAGTATTAAATGTACTTTGTAGTCAATCACCATTCACGACCATTTTCATTCAACCCTTGATTCAAATTGTTTTTTTCACAATGATAACAGAAGTAACTTAGATCCATTCAGCGAATGCAAAGACATAACATTATGGAATGCTCTTCGTCGAGCTCATCTAATAAATGGTGACACCGAAGATGAATACAATGACTACCTCATTCATAATGAGAAATCAAGACTTTCACACAAGCTATTAACCGCCGAAACGCCAATATCAAAAAAACAAGATTTACATTTAGATAGTCCAGTTAGAGAAAATGGAAGTAATTTTTCACAAGGACAGCAACAATTAATAGCTTTGGCTAGAGCATTGGTTCGACATTCAAAACTAATAATAATGGACGAAGCCACTGCAAGTGTAGATTACAAAACTGATTGTTTAATCCAAAAAACAATCAGAGAGGAATTTGTGAATAGTACTGTCATTACTATTGCACATAGGTTGAGAACCGTGATTGACTATGACAAAGTTTTAGTTATGGGTAAAAATTTACTTTTAATTTAGATTTATGATGAAGTCTTGTTTTTGGAGTAACTTGTTTATTCTTTTTTAAAAAAAGATGCAGGTAAGGTTATAGAATACGATTCACCATACATATTACTGCAGAAACCGGGATCAACGTTTAGAGCAATGTGTGAATCAAGTGGAGGGTTTAATGAACTAATGGAACTCGCTAAGCAAAAATATGAAGGTGATAATTTAGGTTAAATCAGTATCTTAAGAATAAAAGGCTAATATTTAATTATGGCGGAAGAAGAATATTTTGTTCTTTTTTAATGAATATAGTGAACAAAAAGATGAAATATTGTATTTTTTTTTTCAGATCTGAGATAAGCTACCAAGTGGGATTACCATTTATTTGTTCGAGATTTTTATGTAATTAACTCTACAAGTGTATTTTTTTTTTCTAGCATGTTCAACCTTCTTGTTTAATTAGCATATATAGTCTATTGTAAAAAAAATCGTTGTTGATTAGTCTTTGCTGACTATATAGTATACGCATTAATTTTTAATACAAATTCATGTTGAGATTCATTACAACCTCGATAACTAGTTACGAATTACATCCGTCTCAAAATTTAATCCTCACTTCATTGTCTATTTTCTAGCCTAAACTCTCAATATTATTCTAAAGTAAAATGTAATTAGTGACCAATCAATGTAAAAACATCCCATATATACTATGACTTGGTTCATTTAGATTGGTCATCATATTCCTAAGTATAGTTGCAGACATTTAGGTAGTTATTTTTTTATGTCGCCTTTACGTCATATAAAATTTATATATAATGTTAATACGTCTTATCTAATACGTCACGTCAATACGTTATAGTATATTGATATTCTAATGCCTGCAACCAGTGTTGTCATGGGACAAGGACGCGGACGGCGGACAGTCCGGGACGGGACGTCCGCGGACATGTCCGCAACTTTTTTTTGTCCCGGACAATTAAAATTATCCCTTACCCTGTTTTGCAGGCAAATTTGCCTGCAACATTACGGCGCATTGGCGGAATTAAGCAGATATTTAGTCACCAAATCTAAAATAATGGTCACCAAATTTAAAATAATGGTCACCGAATTTATTATTGATCGATCAAAACTAAACCCTCAAAATTTTTTTTTGCACCCCAGATTTGCGGCAGCCTTATGTCCAACCCATCTTCCCACTATTCAACCCATCTTAAATTATCTATTCTTTAAAGTGACGCATCTCAAAAAAAAAAAAGAACATCAATAATACTGATAGTATTTTATGTTCTTTCTGTGACACTAAGAAATTTAAAAGTTATCGCGGCCTCAAAATACACAACCAAAGAGTACATTGCAGTAAGAATTCTGCAAACGCCTCTTCAGACAAATCTTTTTCATGTCTGCTTTGTCCAAATACAGCATTCAAAAAAAAAAGTGGATTGAGCCGTCATGAAACTCTTAAACATTCTAATTATAATACATCTCCTAAAAGTCTTCCTGTTCTTTCTAATACTTATATTGCCGAAGCCAAGAATGTGTTAGTTTATCTTATACAATCATGGCTTAAACTTCATATAAAACATACTGGTTTACAAACAGTTTCAGCACCATTTAGTGAACCAGAGTTTGTTTCAATCTTTAAAAATTATATCAAGCGATATTCAATCTGTCACCAAAAATATATTTGTAAATTCAGTAGTTATGGTGCATATGATATGCTCACAAATATTTTTAATAGAGAAAATTGGGGACGTAGAATTTATGAACATGGACAAAGATCTGAAGTCGTGTTAGTATCTGAATATTTAAAACAACCCAAATTGATAATAATCTGGAAAAAGTGTGTAATTAATGACGAAGATGGAAATAGAACTGAGACAGGTTGGGTTACTTTAAAATTTTCTGTAGAACAATTTTATTAGTATTAGATATAGAAAAATTGATTAAAATAATGCATGTATATACAATAATTATGTAGCAAATATACATATATTATATAGCTTTAATTATACGTAGTATATAAATAAATATTACATGTATATATATATATAAGTATTGTAATAAAATTAAATATAATGTTCTATTCAATAACAGTATTCGAATATTCATAAATTACACGATCTTTTTTAAAATAAGTTGGTATATTATGAACATAAAAAAAATTAGACCGGTTCTCATATTCCATAATTTCAAATATTGCAGATTTTCGATTATCACCTATCCTACCATCCTTCATAGACTTTCTAAAAAAATATAAAACATGATCATAATTTTTTTTTCTACTTCACAGCAAGAAAATGAAGAAAATTTAATATTTCTGTGTAGATCTATGAATTCAGGTACATGATATACAAGGACATAAATATATGGTGTTATGTCCATTGAGTGATAAAGTTCACGAATAAACTCAAATGAATTTATATTACCTTGAGACTTTGTTAAAATGAGTTTTAACCATTGACAAGCTTTTTGATGAAATTAGCTACCAGAAATATTTGAGGTATGCATATCTCATATAAGTCGACAAAACTATCTCATAGTTGTCTAATAATAGCAACTCTTTGATATGTGAATATGATATTCAAATTAAAATTTTTTAAGACTATAAGTCTATCATTTCCATTTAAAGTTGTAAATAACCAAGTTTTAGTGCTTTGATCTTCCCAAAATTGGAAATGAACTTGAATACGATCCATTTCAGTAATAATTAATTGACGTATTTGATCAGTAAAACGATGTGTACTATGAAGTTCACTTAAAACAAGTGCCTATAGTTGATCAAATATGTGTAATAATAAGTGTAATTCATTGACAACCCAGTTGCAAATCGGAATCATTGAAAATAATGAAGAGTTCTTATGTTCTAAGATATTTTGATAATTTTGATTAATATCGTCAATGTTCTTATTGATAGTCCAATTATCTTGTCATTCATTATTT